TCAGAAGATTATTGGATGCAAATTAATAAAATTGTTAACGCAGGCGGACACAAAAGATTTGGACATATATCCAAACTAGTTTTAGCTTTAATGAGTTTACCTTTTTCTAATGCGAGCATTGAGCGAGCATTCTCAATTATTAATATCATTAAAGATAAGTTACGAAATAGAATGTGTGTCAGTAGAAACTGCAGATTCTATTTTATCATCAGAAGTAATTTACCAAATAGCTGTATCGCTTTTGAACCCACTAAAGATATGTTGAATAAATTTAATTCGGAAAATATGTATTTTTCTAACTTTGTAGAAGAAATACTAGATGAATTCGTAGAATACTAATTGTACAAAGTTAGAAGAATACATAGTTTTGTACTAAATAAAGTAAGAAGAATATATAATTGTTATACTTAATGTAAATTAAGTACGCTGTTCGAATAAAATCATTTCATAAACACATTTTCATTTCATACATATTAGGTGTAGTAAAAAGAAATCCATTTTTTGTGCACGAAATTGAAAGCTTCATCGCACTTATACAACGCGAGATACAGATTTAAAAAAAAAAAGCTTTTTACTATACCTAATATGTCTTTTTTTTAATCTAGGGGTTTTATTGTCAATCTAGGGGGAAATACAGCCTAGTTTGGGGGGTTTGCATTCAGGTCATCTGGCAACACTGGTAGCAGCTCAGTATCAACGCATCACTTTCCCTAGTGAAGCGAACGGCATGATTCACGAAACATTGGCATTAATAATGAAGGACACGGTGATAACCCGCAAACCTTCTGGTATAAATGAAATGTTATTGGACAGTTCGTAGTTATATTTGCATCGCAGTGGCTGTTACAGGTTTCCTAACCTGAATAGTTGTTTACTTTAATTCAAATTGTAAAGATCTCAATCAATATTATATAAGATTGTATTTTGAACATGAGAGAATTTGAAATCTCGCGAATAAACGGGATCGAGGGAAACTTATCAGTAGAAAAGCCACTAGAGTGTTCTCGTAGATCTCACCACGCGTCGTTGAGGTACAGTACTGGACAAAATAAAGTACGCACTCCAAACATTTTCACATTTATGCGAATATCTCGCCAGTGCTGGCAGATCGCATAATGATGAATAAGGTAAAAGAAAGGTATTTTAGTCTACTTTACAATAATGATTACAAAAATTCCAAAAACAATACGAAATACTTTAATAGTCAAGTCTGTTACATTTATTATCAAATTTATCGTGGACAAAATAAAGTACGCACAACATTGTTTATGAATATAATAACAACTGGCATTGTTGATGATGAAAAATACATAAACATAACAATAAAGGATATATAAACAAATGAATAAAGCAGGTTTGTTAGTTAATAATATTGCTAGATAGAGTATAATAAGAATTCTTCATCAGTGAACATGGAAACCAAGCAAATTTTTTTGCAAATTCGAAAACTGATAATTTATAAATTCAGGATTGTCAGAAAGAGCTTTCTAATAGAAAAATCGGTTACAAATACAATGTAAGTGAAGGCGCAATCCGAAAGATATGGAAAAAATTCCAGGAGCTTGGCACAGTAGCGGATAAGACAGGACGTGAACGGAAGAGGAAGACAAATCCAATCGAAGGTCGCAGAATCATACGGCAAGTAAAGAAAAATTCAACTGTTACTAGTCGTGTTATCTGAGAAAACCTACAATTAAATTTTCCAAACGAACAGTGCGGAGGAGACTTCGGGATGTTGGACTTAGAAACAGTTTTGCAGTGCGCCGTCCTTTGATTCGGAAGGCCAATAAAATCAAACTTCTAGAATTTGCAAAAAAATACGTTAACAAGTCAGTGGATTTCTGGAAAAAGGTCCTTTGGAGTGACAAAAGCAAATTTAAACTTTTCGGTCATAAACAGCGACCACGGGTCTGGTCAAAGCCTAGCGAAAATCTTCTTGACAAAAATATTCAAAAAACACTCAACATGGAGGAGGCAGCATAATAGTGTGGGAATGTTTTGCGTGGTCTGGTTTGGGAAATCTAGTCAAAATCGACGGTATAATGACAGCAGATGTGTACATTGATATTCTCAATGAAAATTTAGAAGAGTCTCTGCTAAAGGTTGGTCTGGAGAACAACTTCATTTTTCAACAAGATAATGATCCCAAACATACTGCTCGTAAAACTACCGCTTTTTTTCGTACTTCTGGGATCAAACTGCTCGATTGGCCAGCGCAATCGCCAGATCTGAATCCGATTAAAAATTTGTGGTCGATTTTGGACCTGAAGCTTGATAAAGGGGAAGTAACGAATAAAATTAAGTTGTTCGAAGCATTAATGAAAACATGGAAAAATATCAATCAGCAATAATCGAAAACCTTGTCGAAAGTATGCCTCCACGTTTGCAAGCCGTGATACAAGCAAAAGGTGGCCATACAAAATATTAATTATAAACTTTATTTTTATTATATATTTTTTTTTCACTTGCGTACTTTATTTTGTCCACGATAAATTTAATAATAAATGTAACAGACTTGACTATTAAAGTATTTCGTATTGTTTTTGGAATTTTTGTAATCATTATTGTAAAGTAGACTAAAATATCTTTCTTTTACCTTATTCAACATTATGCGATTTGCCAGCACTGGCGAGATATTCACATAAATGTGAAAATGTTTGGAGTGCGTACTTTATTTTGTCCAGTACTGTATATGCCATGTTCAGAATGAAGCGGATGGGTCAGGGCAAACAGTGCTGACTCCCATTCACGATAAACACTTTATTCTCGTCGTCTACAAAAGGACGCTACGCCATTGCTTGAGATAATCTTATCTAATCTACTAAGTAGCTCGTATGAGCGCGCTAGTGAATGTCAGGGGAAATCGTCGACGGAAGTTGATCACTTCACCACTCAGCGTGCTTAACAACTATTGCCAACATCAGATTGGCGCCAGAATTACGAAACGAAAAAGCATGCGCAAGCCTTTCTCTTTCAGCTCGGCCAGCCTGTAATGGCACTCGTCCCTGAGAGTCCATACAAATGCAAAGCCTGAAGGGCCGTATAATATATTTAAACATAAACTCGAAATTATAAAATTTATCTGGAACAATAACAAATATAGGTAAAATATGAAGTTTAAATAGGTAATCATAAAGGATATTGTAATGCTTAAAACTAATACTCGCAAAAGTTAAGATAATACAAGAGTATAGTATAGGTAACAGTATAACAAAATATATATAAAGTTGAATACATGTAGAGGATACGATATCCTGTACTTATTATTAGTGTATCAATCTTTAGGTATCGGAATCCACGGTTTAATCCGATCAGAAGACAAGATTCCGTGATAAGGTTTTTGAGTCAATTGGCATTCTGGGATGTCTCGAACAATGTAACGATCGTTATCTAAAATTTTTTTAATTCTATAAGGACCTTTATACGGAAGACGTAATTTTTTGTCTTGTCCGGTTTTTGAGACGGAATCTTTAATCATAATGTAGTTTCCAAAGTTGTATTTTATGTCGTGAATCATAGTAAAATTTATTGTATGTTTTAAAACGGTCTGATGCCTGAAAAGCAATTTCACTATCTTTATTGCGTAAATCTCTGTGATTTTGAATTTCCATGATTTATTATATAGATCATTTAAAAACTGTGTTAGTCTGAAATCAGCATGATTTTTCATATCATAACTAATTGTAAGTACTAATTTAGAAGGAGTATGCGATTCGAAAATCGGCCGAAAGTTACATACACTTTATGTATGTTCACTTTGTGCTGGCACCTTTAATTAATAATATATCAGTTACTTTTTATGGTAATATATTATTATTAGATAAAAAGGTTTAAATTTTTGAAAATCCTTTTTTGAACATGGCTTGAACTTTTCATTTTTATGATATGATTTTGTTTGGATATTATTTACTTTTTAGAGTACAAATATATCACAAATATATTAAAACATAATTTAAAAATATTATATAACGAAAGAGAGTGAAATACGGCGAAAGAGAAGGGTGGTGGGAATGGGTGGTGGGGGAGGGGTTGCGGTCGGTCGAAGATGGTGAAGGTGTGAGGGAAAGGTGAGAAGAGATATTAAAAAGTTTTAATGCGGCATTGAATGCGGACAAAGAAGAAGAAGAAGAAGACTTCTTAATTTTTTATTAAAATCATCACTTTTTGACCGCTTGTATCTCCAAAACGGCATGACCGATTTTATATTTTTTTTTTTACTCAAATTACTCGTGGAAATGCTGCCTTTCAGGACATATAACGTTCGATTCAAAGTTTTTTATATTTTAGTAGTTATGCACCCCCGAAGAATGGACTTTGGTGGCCCGGGATAAGAAACTTCTATAGTGTCTTTCAGTTTTTGAACATGGCCGGAAACATTACCGCGTCTCCTGATTATGTAATAAATGTTTATAAAAATGCTAAATATTGCCAATCTTAATATACATATATTTCAGAAATGCTAAATTCTTATTAATAAGTGTACATATTAGGTGCTTGAATTAATTCTTGCTGCTTTTTACTAGAAAATTCGTACTTATTTTATAAAAAAAAAAAACTTGATATACACGGATTGTCTGAAAAGTTTCCGACCTAACAAAGAAACAAGACATTTTTTCTTCAAATTTATTTTCATTTTTCTACATAGTTTCCTTGTAAGTCTATACACTTCTCCCAGCGATGCTCCCATCTCTTCAACCAAATAGTACTTGGCGTCTTTCTCTGCAAAATAGTTGTTTATGAAGGTGATAACCTCCTTATTCGACGAAAATCTCTGTTCTCCGAGTGCAACTTTTAGCTTAGGGAACAAAAAAAGTCGCTTGGAGCTAGATCTGTTGAGTAAAGAAGGTGGTCAAACAGTTCAAATTGTAATTCGTAGATATTCGCCATGGCAACCACTGAGGTGTGAGACGGCGTTTTTAGTCCGGAGTGATACTCTTTCCTGTCTATAAATATTAATATTGACATCTGAAATTATCACTCCTTTTTTTTTTAATTTATAGGCAGTTGGTCTGAAAGCCGTAGTGGAGATAAAAGCTCTCGGTGAAGACGGTTCGCCGGTGGATGGGCCACGAGGGATGCTGACAATAATGCAGCATTCCGATGGAGTCAGGATCATGGGCACGATCACGAGATTAAATCCGGGCTTGCATGGATTCCACGTACACGAGAAAGGAGATTTGAGAAAAGGTTGCAATTCAGCTGGCCCGCATTTCAATCCGTACATGGTAAAAATGTTAAAAATGTATAGGTATATCATAATTAGTTTAAAATTAATAATTTCTTTAAAATTAATTTGTGTTTTGAAATACTTTTTAGCAAAATTTCAGTATTTCGGAAAAGTTTCAGTTTAATTTGAGCAATTTTTCAATATATTGGTAGAAGTAGAAAAATTCAATTTTAATAAAATTTCAGCTTTTCAGCAATTTCGCTGCAATTTTCCAAAACGTGGAAGAATTTTAACAAAATTTTTTTAACAAATTAATAAGCATTCCTCCATGAGGAGCATAGCTAGAGTTTTATTTGACGAAGAGGACTCAAATTAAACTATAACTTTTAAGAGGAGGATCAAAGGAATCAAGTGGTATAAACTATTAGATTTGTTCTGTTCTATAATGTTTTCAATTAATTACTACTATCATAAATTACAAAATTACACATATACGTTCACGAGATCTTCTTTCACGTAAAAGCATTATCAGGTGCATTAATTAATTCTGTTTTTTGCTTAAAAAAAACTCGTGCTTATTTTATCAAAAAGGTACCTGATACGTCTTCTGCGCCTGACTCCTATTGCCTTTTATTCTCTCCAATTTGTATTTGAGTTGTAAGAAACGTTAATTGATTTTATTATTATAAGGTTTAAAATATATCTATATAAAGATTTAAAAAATATATATGATATACATTTTACATTATACATTATTCCTGCATCTCTTATATCAGATACTTTTGTAAAAGTTATAATTTTATATAAATACCACAGAGATTAGCGTTAATTAAGTAGATAATAAAATTATGCGAGACTTCCATCGTAGGATCATGAAAAATTCATTCGAACTCTTTTTCCATTTACCATATCACTTTCGCAAAAATCTAAATTAACTAGACAGTATTTGCCTGTGGAAAATTAACGTTATAATGTAGCGAATGATTGATTCTAGATCTCTGAGATTAATTTAAAAGTCGAAGAAGTTACATTTTCAGATTAATCTCCAGGAGAAACCAAACTACCGTTATTATATCGAACTCTCCAAATGCAAATGCGACGCAATTAGCACAAATTGATAGTCTCACACCTCGCGGATGCAGTCGCGATCTTCCCCGATAACACTCTCTCCCTCTATTTTACGTTACGATAAATGAAGAGTAATTGCATTTCAGGTGAATCACGGAGCACCGAGCGATCCGTTACGTCACATCGGCGATCTCGGTAATATTGAGGTCGGAGAGGACGGAGTGGCGCGTATCGACGGCATGGATCATTATTTGAGCTTGGTGGGCGTCCGGGGTGCAATCGGCAGAGCCCTGGTGATCCATGCGAAACCCGACGACCTCGGCCGCGGCGGAACCGAGGAGAGTCTGAAGACCGGATCGGCGGGCGAGCGCGTTGCCTGCGGTGTCATCGGTTTCTTGTAAAAAGATTTCGATGAACAGCAAATTCGGTTACTGACTTACTACATGCACTAAATACGCACTGAAAGCTGCCGTATTTAATTCACTTAAAAAGGTACTGCGTAGTATGTAATATCTTCGATATACAATACATAAGCACATTTTAGTGAAAACGATATAATTTCTTGCTAAAGACAAAATGTTTTTTTCCATTATAACTCAATCGGAATATCATTATATGTATATTTCTTTATAATTTTGTATAATTTTACTTTCTACTTTAAATACTAATATTTTGATATCTTTTCATAACTATAGTCTATTTCTAAGTCTCAGCAGTTTTCGTTGAAATTAAAATAATTTAGATGAATAATTATTATAAATATTTATTATATAATGTTCATTAATTTGTTATGAAAATAGCATAAGAATTAAACTGCTTTTAAATTGGATATATATATATATATATATTAGGGTGTCCGTTATTTCCCAAATTTCAAAAATCAGTTTGTTCGCCCCCTAGATCTCTTCTTTGGCACCAAAAATTAATGTAGAAACTCAATATAGTCCGATAAATTAAAATTAAGCCGTGCCACCGAGCACTTCTTTTTTTCCATACAAATAACATGGGGATTTTGCATTTTATCGGCATTTAATTCTCTACGATGACTCTGTCCGTATAAAAAGTCATACCCAACGGAAAATTACTTCAATACGGTGTACTTACAATGAAAAAATTTGGCAGAACTCTAAAAAATTTTTTTGCACTGCGGGTAAGCCTCCAATTAATACGTTTATTTGACATATTTTCATTGAATTTGATTATTTTTTAACAGTTTTTTTTTATACAACCACTGGATTTATGTACCAAATATCAAAACAGTATGTAGTTAATTCATATTTATAGTGTAGTTGCACTAAAAAATTTTTCAGTGCTATAAAAAACTTTTCATAAAAATTGTTTTATGTGTAATGAATGAAAGTATTTCAATAAATAAGTTTAAAAAAAATTGAAAAATAACAACTAACTATTACTTACTTACTATTTTATTGTTGTAAAGAGATATTCAGCCTGTTGATTCCTCTTACTAATAAATAAATAACAAATAAATCGTTATAAATTATATTTATTACTTTTTATTCTTTACACTTACAAAAATATATCGCTCACATCTTCAAGTGAAAAACTTTTCATTTTTGTCGTGTCCTTTTATGTGAAAATTGATTGTTTTTACGTAAAAAATGTATTTTAATAAATTTGCATTTATTTGTAAGTATATTATATAAAACAATCAATTTTCGTAAAAATCGTAAAAACAATCAATTTTCACATAAAAAGACACGACAAAAATGAAAAGTTTTTCACTTGAAGATGTGAGCGATATATTTTTGTAAGTGTAAAGAATAAAAAGTAATAAATATAATTTATAACGATTTATTTGTTATTTATTTATTAGTAAGAGGAATCAACAGGCTGAATATCTCTTTACAACAATAAAATAGTAAGTAAGTAATAGTTAGTTGTTATTTTTCAATTTTTTTTAAACTTATTTATTGAAATACTTTCATTCATTACACATAAAACAATTTTTATGAAAAGTTTTTTATAGCACTGAAAAATTTTTTAGTGCAACTACACTATAAATATGAATTAACTACATACTGTTTTGATATTTGGTACATAAATCCAGTGGTTGTATAAAAAAAAACTGTTAAAAAATAATCAAATTCAATGAAAATATGTCAAATAAACGTATTAATTGGAGGCTTACCCGCAGTGCAAAAAAATTTTTTAGAGTTCTGCCAAATTTTTTCATTGTAAGTACACCGTATTGAAGTAATTTTCCGTTGGGTATGACTTTTTATACGGACAGAGTCATCGTAGAGAATTAAATGCCGATAAAATGCAAAATCCCCATGTTATTTGTATGGAAAAAAAGAAGTGCTCGGTGGCACGGCTTAATTTTAATTTATCGGACTATATTGAGTTTCTACATTAATTTTTGGTGCCAAAGAAGAGATCTAGGGGGCGAACAAACTGATTTTTGAAATTTGGGAAATAACGGACACCCTAATATATATACGTAAAACAAAATATGATTATCATGAGTATTATTCGCATAATATAACTGTTATAATAGAATTAATTTTATTCAGTTCAAGTAATTATGTGTGATATATTTATCTCTCGACAGACATTGCAGATAAATTTGTGTATACAGCCTGAAGATTGTGCGCATTAGTGCTTCTACCCAAATTCGCTAAAATAGGTATTGCGCACCGCGACTTCGTTCACTAATTTAATTGCGCCCACTTGTACCAATCAATAAATATTACGAATGTGTAAATAGAACACTTGTTAAATGCATTTTATATACACCCTTTATGTAATTTTTCTAAGTTACAAAAATAAGATGAACAATTTAAATATGAAAGATTTGGGTAACACAGTTAATTTTCCTTTCTTTTTAGTTTGTGCATCTAATAAACATTAAAATAATACTAAAATAAAATATTTATTAACAATTATATATAATATTAAATAGTAACAATAGTCATATTGATGTAATTGATTGTAGTTTATACGAGTATGTATATGAAAATTTATCTAGAGACATTTTCGATAAATTATGATCGAATATTTTTCGCTGCAACAGAAATGGTCCACAAAAATAAAGCTATTTTTTTATCTCAATACACGGTCAATCAGAAATTTAACGAAATTTCAATATAAAGAATTGTCACGAGTGTTGATTGCACAAGTGACAATTGCGTCACGAACGAATGTCAAAATAAAAGTATTAATACTAATATGAGAATAGGGCTACGAGCCTTAGATTCATTAAAATCTTTAATTCTATTAATTCTATTAATAGATTCTTTTATTCTATTAATTATGGCGTTTCGTCCCAACTTCCACTACTGGACTCATCAGTAAGGTATTGTAATGGAAGCCTACCTTAGACGCCTGTTTTAGTTATTAAATCGAGATTCTATATATACAGATATACGCGTATCAAAGCACTTGCGAGAATCTTAGCGAATATCTATAGACCTCTGATGGCGGGTTGATGTAGTAAAGTAATAATAATACAAATTATAATTGTGTGAAATTATGTACCGCGTATGTAGTCCTCCTCGCGACGCTGATGGATTTTCAGCATTGACGCATACGTATTAACTACCGCAGTAATATCAGTTTAGTTAAATTGACATCACAATCTAACAAATTTTGATGCTATAGCATTTTTAATTACATCTTAATAATATGTTGAAAGACATATATTAATATTTTAATAATGAAATAATGATAATTTTAAATCTTTGAAAATAATAAGACTGCGAAGAATATCACAAGTTGGCGTTTCGTCCCGGTTTCCATTACTGGACTCATCAGTAAGGCATTGTAATGGAAACCTACCTTAGACGCCTTGGGGAGATGTTAGAAAGAAGTTCTATATAAACAAACACTCGACCAGCCAACAGAGGTCTATAGTTACTCATACCAATTCTCGCAAGTGCCGAATTATATGAGTGATTGTTTATA